TGTTGTTGCTGTCACCATTTATGTGTTTATACACACACATATTTGAAAGTTAGTGCTTCAATGCCAGTGCTCTTGCAGAAGGAAGCAGCACTTTGCAGCTCTATGAATTTGCATTAGAGCAGATGGTGAACCTACCATAATACTCGCTTCACTGAGGTTCTCGGTTATAAAGGCTTTTTGTCTATGTATATATAGAGAGACTTTCACTGTAGCATGGCTGTTAAGATCCCTCTGTCCAGATTATTGGCTTAGCACTGCCTTCCAACCTGGTGGGTACATTTTAGTGCAGTTGCACTAACTGTAGGCTCAGTAGCTACTTACATGAGCAGGGGGAAGATTTAGTGCCATAACACAGTGTTAGAAAAAAACCTCAGCCTAGGTGCCTAAATATAAGAGAAGATGGAAAGCAAGGGAGGAAAACCCCATCAAGAATTTGTGCAATAAATGTGGGCTGTCAATTTTAGAATCGTGAGCATGACGTGCTCTGCAACATTTCTAATCGCACACACACTCAGAGACCAGCTGAGGTAGTTTGGCCCCTCCGGAGGTACTCTGGTCAAATCTCTGCCCAGAGCAGGGTCAGTGAGAACAGGTTCCTCAAGGCTGTGTCCAGCTCGGTTCTGAATATCTCCAGGGTTAGGCACTCCACATCATCTCTGGACATCCTGTGCCGGTGTTCAACCTCCCTCACAATAAACAGGTTTTCATTATGGAATCATAGAATCATAGAATAGTTAGGGTTGGAAAGGACCTTAAGATCATCAAGTTACAACTCCCCTGCCATGGGCAGGGACACCTCACACTAAACCATATCACCCAAGGCCTCGTCCAACCTGGTCTTGAACACTGCCAGAGATGGAGCATTCACAACCTTCCTGGGCAACCTATTGCAGTGCCTCACCACCCTAACAAGAAAGAATTTCCTCCTTATATCCAATCTTAACTTCCCCTGTTTAAGTTTGAACCCGTTACCCCTTGTCCTATCACTACAGCCCCTAAAGAAGAGTCCCTCCCCAGCATCCCTATAGGCCCCCTTCAGATATTGGAAGGCTGCTATGAGGTCTCCATGCAGCCTTCTCTTCTCCAGGCTGAACAGCCCCAACTTTCTCAGCCTGTCTTCATATGGGAGGTGCTCCAGTCCCCTGATCATCCTCGCCCTTCTCTGGACTTGTTCCAAAAGTTCCATGGCCTTGTTATGTTGAGGACACCAGAACTGCGCACAATACTCCAGGTGAGGTCTCACAAGAGCAGAGGGGCAGGATCACCTCCTTCGATATGCTGGTCATGCTCCTTTTGATGCAGCCCAGGATACGGTTGGCTTTCTGGGCTGCAAGGGCACACTGTTGGCTCATGTTCGTTTTCTCATCAATCAACACCCCCAAGTCCTTCTCCTCAGGGCTGCTCTGAATCTCTTCTCTGCCCAATCTGTAGCTGTGCCTGGGATTGCTCTGACCCAGGTGTAGGACCTTGCACTTGTCATGGTTAAACTTCATGAGGTTGGCCTCAGCCCACCTCACAAGTGTGTCAAGGTCCCTCTGGATGGCATTCCTACCCTCCAGCGTATCAACCGAACCACACAGCTTGGTGTCATTGGCAAACTTGCTGAGGGTGCGCTCAATCCCACTGTCCGTGTCGGCAACAAAGATGTTAAACAAGACTGATCTCAACACCAATCCCTGAGGGACGCCACTCATTACTGGTCTCCAGCTGGACATTGAGCCATTGACCACAACTGTTTGTGTGCAGCCATCCAGCCAGTTCTTTATCCACCGAGTGATCCATCCATCAAATTGATGTCTCTCCAATTTAGAGACAAGGATGTCATGTGGGACAGTGTCGAATGCTTTACACAAGTCCAGGTGGATGACATCAACTGCTCTACCCCTGTCCCTCAGTTCTGTAGCCCCATCATAGAAGGCGACCAAATTGGTCAGGCAGGATTTCCCCTTAGTGAAGCCCTGCTGGCTGTCACCAAGCACCTTGTTGTTTTTCATGTGCCTTAGCATGCCTTCCAGGAGAATCTGCTCCAAGATTTTGCGAGGCACAGAGGTGAGACTGACTGGTCTGCAATTTCCCAGGTCATCCATTTTCCCCTTCTTGAAAATGGGGGTTATATTTCCCTTTTTCCAGTCGTCGGGAACTTCACCTATCTGCCATGATTTTTCAAATATGATGGCCAGTGGCTTAGCAACTTCATTTGCCAGCTCCTTCATGACCCACGGATGGATCTCATCAGGACCCATGGACTTGTACACGTTCAGATTTTTAAGATGGTCTTAAACCAGATCCTCTCCTACTGTGTGCCTGAGGTCTTCATTCTCACAGTCCCTGCATCTTCCTTCCAAGACTTGGTTGGTTTGGTCAGAGCCTTTGCCAGTGAAGACCGAGGCAAAGAAGTCATTCAGAACCTCAGCCTTCTCCAAATCCTGTGTAGCCAGTTCTCCCAAGAGCTTCCTGAGCAGGCCTACCTTCTCCCTAGTCTGTTTTTTATTTGCTATGTACCTGTAGAATCCCTTCCTGTTATTCTTAATATCCCTAGCCAAGTTTAATTCTAACTGGGCCTTATCTTTCCTAACCTGGTCCCTAGCTTCCCGGACAACATCCCTGTACTCTTCCCAGGTCGCCTGTCCTTGCTTCCACTTTTTATAAGCCTCTTTTTTCATTTGAATTTTCCTCAGCAGCTCCTTATCCATCCAAGGAGGTCTCCTGGCCTTCCTGCTGCACTTCCTTCTGGTTGGGATGCAACACTCCTAAGCTTGTAGCAGGTGATCCTTGAATATCAACCAAGAGTCTTGGGCCCCCCTGCCCTCTAGGGCTGTATCCCATGGAACCTTACTAAGCAGGTTCCTGAAGAGGCCAAAGTCTGCTCTTTTGAAGTCCAGGGCAGTGAGCTTGCTGCGCGCTCTTCTCACTGTCCTGAGGATTTCAAATTCAACCATCTCATGATCGCTGCATCCAAGGCTGCCCTGGAGCATCACATTTCCAACCAGCCCTTCCCTGTTGGTGAGCATGAGGTCAAACATGGCACCTCTCCTTGTTGGCTCCTCTGTTACTTGCAGAAGGAAGTTGCCTTCCACGCAATCAAGGAACTTCCTGGATTGCTTGTGCCGGGCCGTACCGTCCTTCCAACAGATGTCAGGGTGGTTGAAGTCACCCATGAGAACAAGGGTCTGTGAGCGTGAGGCTGTTCCTATCTGTCTATAGAGTGCTTCATCCACAGAGTCCTCTTGATCAGGTGGTCTGTAACAAGTCCCCACAGTAATGTCTCCCATAGCTATATTCCCTTTAACCCTGACCCACAAACTCTCTGTTAACTGCTCACCTGTCCCCAGACAGAGTTCCATACTCTCCAGCCTATCCCTAAGATAAAGGGCAACTCCCCCTCTGCGCCTGCCATGCCTGTCTTTTCTAAAAAGCCTGTAACCTTCCATTCCAACACTCCAGTCGTAGGAGCCATCCCACCATGTTTCTGTGATGCCTATTATATCATACCCCTGTAGACGTGCCCACATCTCTAATTCCTCTTGTTTGTTCCCCATGCTACAGGCATTTTTATAGAGGCATCAGTGACTTTTCTACAAAGCTTCTTTCCAGCCAGTTGATTGCCAGCTTGCACTAGTGCATGGGGTTATTCCTCCTGAGGTGTAGGACTCTGTACTTCTCTCTGTTGAATTTCATGAGGTTCCTCTCATCCATTTCTCCAGTCTGTTGAGGACCACCCGAAGGGCAGCACAACCCTCTTGTGTCTCAGCCACGCCTCCTGGTTTTGTGCCAACTGTAAAGTGACAGAAGATGCGCTCCCATTAATATAGTCCATATTTAATCAGTTTCTCTATGAGGATACTATCAGAGGCAATATTGAAAGCCTTCTTAAAGTCAAAGTAAAGAAGAGCATGGCTTTTCCATCATCCACTTAACTGGTTATTTTATGGAAGACGGCTTCATGTTGGTAAGGCATGACTAGCCTGTCGTTGTCGTCATGCTCCTTTTGGCCCTTCTTGAGGGTAGGGGTAATGTTTGCCTTCTTCTGGTCCTCAGAAACCTCTTCTGTTTGCCACAGCCTTTCAAAGATTATTGAGAGTGGCCTTATGGTGATGTTGGCCAGCTCCATTAGCAGTCTTGGGTGGATCCCATCAGGTTACAGGGCCTTGAGTATATCCAGGTTGTTTATAAATTCCTAACCTGATTCTCTTCTGCTGAGGATTAAGTTTTCTTTGCTCCAGACTTTTCCACCTGGGATTGATGGGGTGGAGCTGGGATTCCTGCAGACCAGTAGTCAAGGCATTGCATGCTGTGGCCTTTTCCATGTTCTTTTTCATCAGAATCCCTGCCAGTGGGCCCATAATTTCCCTGGTCTTTTTGCTGCTGTTGTACCTATAGAAGCTCTTCTTGTTGCCCTTCACATCCCTCATCAGATTGTTGGGTTTCCTAACCCCATCCCTGACCATGTTAGATTTATGACAGTCTTACTGATTCAACTCTTCAGCCTCTGGAAAATGCTAGCAATGCCCCATGCAGCTGCCCAGTACGTGTGTTGTCTCTATTAAACTTAATGAGAAGCAAAGGCTGTGTTTAGTTGCAACTTTTTACTTAATTAAAATTAAAATGACACATCACTCCATCTACAGGCAGAGCCTTAATCTCCAGTGTCAGTATTAGGTTCAGTATTGACAGTGACCTAGTTTCCATTGATGGAATTCATTAAAAGTTTTAGTCCACAAAGTCAGGAAGAAGTAGTGGCTGACAGTTCTGAACTGAAATGAGGGGAAAAAAAAAATCAAACCTGACCTGTTTTGTTAATCCATCCATGTACATGAAAACAGCACAGCAGGATTAGGGAACTAATCCCATTTCAAATCTGATGCCTGCTGGTTCTATTTAATGAGCATTATGTCTGTTTCCTTTTTAACCCTAAAATGTCTTAATATTTAAAACATTTTTTCGTTTTAAATTTAAAAATATTCTGATTTTTTTTTCCATTGTACTTTTGATCTCTTCAGGTAAGGTACTTGCTTCTACAACTGGACCAAAGATGGACTGCTAACTACCATTTTTACTGCCAAACTGCATGCCAAACTTCATTCATATGGAAATATCCAGAAAAAGGAATTAGCACAGAGTTCTCTGAGCACTGGTATTAATGACATTTCCTACAGATTTGTACCTTGTGAATAAACTCTGGTGTGTAGGAAGGAATAAAGTCATGGGGAAGATAGATTGTTTTAGGGCTGAGATATTCAGAGCATCTCTCCTCACACATCTGTAGCACTCAGTAAATGTTTTATACTTTCACACTGCGCTCTTTTCCTGTGTAGGGACACTATTAAAATATCTCTGGCCTATATGCCCACTTTCATTAAATTCGCAAAAAACTGTTGAGACATTTGTCTCTCTGCCAAATATGGCTGAAATTGAAGGAAGAGCTAAAAACTATTAACAGAGGTTAAGGAAGGTGACTAGACAGATGCATTCTTTGAACAGACCACCATAACTATTCACAAACACACGGTAAGGCACTCTGATTTGGTGGTCCCCAGAAGGTAATGTGTGCTCTGGAAACTTTCCCTGAAGAACTCTGGCTCTCATGGTAATGGGTGATTATTGTTGTTTGTTTTTTTTTTAATTCACATGACAATTGTGCAATATAATAGAAATAAAAATTTGTATATTACAGATACGACATGGCATAGTCATGCTTTTCTAATTGCGAAATGTAAACAAAAGATGACTGTGAAATTAGAATGAAAATAAAAATGAAGAGAAGTAGATATAGGGTAAAGTAAAAGTTGTGTTATTTAGTAAATTAATTTTGTTGTTTTTTTTTATTTCATTAAAACACTGATGAGAAAATTACTCACTGGTCAAGAATCTGATCTAATTTATCTAAGTTCAGTGACCACACTTTGAGCATCTGCAGTTGGGAACCTCTGCATGGTTCATGCATAGGTTTAAGGGAAGAGGAAAACTTGGGGCAATTGACTTGTCCTTATATTGTCTTAATAATATAAGAATATCTTAATTTATATGAAATAATTAGATATGATTATACAATCTCATTATAAATAATGTAAATTCACCCATGCTGTATTGGCTGCAAGTTTATCTGCTACTTGGTCTTCAGACTGTTGCTTCTAATCTGTCATGTGCCCGTGGGAAGCCTAAGATTACATCTGTTTTGTACCTCAGATTTTTCTGATATTGTGACTTTAACTATTGCTCAGTTATTTTATAAGCTATAGCATTATTTTCATGCTCTCACTGGTGGTTACCATGCCATGCTTCCAATGTTATATTAAATACTATACTTTGGGCTACTAAAGCCACTAGGAGTCATAGATTACCAGATGACGTAAGTCTCGCTTTGTTTAGAAGAGAAAATTTGAAAAACAAAGTTAATTTCATATGTCTACTTAACCACTTAACAAGCTTAATATGCTGGTATACCAAGTGATTTTGGAAGATAATACATTAAAGCACAGACTGGAATATGGAGAGCAATACATCATTGGCAAAATATCAGCTATAGGTCATTCCCGTTGTTTGTGTCAGTCCAGTCTGATATGCATAGCCCAGGCTGGAAAATGAAACCTAGAGGTTCTTAGGTGTCCTGGGTTTAGCAGTAGCAGTCATTTTTTCTCCTTTGTAGTAGCTGGTGCAGCACTGTTTTTGACTTTCAGCCTGGGAACAGAGCTGATAACGCTCAAATGTTTGATCTGGCCAAGGACTTTGTGAGTCTCATGCTCTGCCAGGGAGGAGGGGAAGCTGGGAGAAAGCAGAGACAGGGCACCTGACCCAAACTGACCAAAGAGGTATTCCATACCACAGCACGTCATGCCTGGGGGGGATAACTGGGAGTTACCCAGAAGGGCACTCACTGCTTGGTCAGGCTCATTTCGATGGGTGGTATCATTTCTCTTATCATTATTATTATTGGTGGTAGCAGTAGTGGTTTGTGTTATACCTTAGTTACTGGACTGTTCTTATCTTAACCCGTGGGGAGTTACATTCCTCCCCATCCCTCCGGGAGCAGGGCAAGGAGGCGGGAAGGGAAGAAAGAGTGGTGGGGAGTAGAAACTGCGTGGCTGACTTGCCGACAGGGCTTAAACCATGACATTAGGCATATGTATTGTGGTGTTGCTGCAGCTGTGGGCTTTAGAATGACCTTAAATTTTTACTAAGATAGGCATTTCCCCATTATTATAGGGAAGTATCACTTAGTAAATGGGCCAATGATTAATGATTATCACTGTTAACAGCATGCAATTTGTTTCTGACCTAACATGCCTATTTTTAGCTTCTGGATATTTTTGGGTGGATTCAGTGTGTCAAAAATTGTGATAATTTCAGTTACTTGTGCATGGAACCCAAGCAAACGACTTAAACTAAAAAATCCCCATGATTTTAAGAGTGTTCAAATCTTGCTTGTCTAGTCATCATAACATACTTGCTGCCTTATAAACATTAACAAAAAACTAATAAATATTAGGCAATCTACAAAAATGAGTATTAACAATACTGGAGAGGTGTTTTTCATTGCCCTGTGCCAAAGGCCCTGTCAGCACAATGAGTGAGTACCCAATATACCATTTTAATTTGGCAATGTTTACATCCCTTGATATCAATGCTTGCATAGAGTCCAGGAAAATGAAGAATTATGTTTACATGATCTAATTCTATTGATTATTGGTATTAGTTCGATATTAGTCTGATAGCTATATATTGATATGGGGAAAATATAAATATATTTATGTAAAGAGAATTATTAATTACATTATTTAATGTAGTTTCTTTTGTAATGTGTAAAGCAAGTAATATTAATATATATGTAAAATTGTTATATTTATGTATCAGCAGTCATCAATGATCAGTTTTCTAAAACAGAACTGTATCACCATCGATGTATCAAATGGAAAAACTTATTATGGAGAATAGGAGCATTTGTTGTTAAATAAAGTCACATATAAAGATATATTTCAGTAAAAAAAAGCTATACTCTATGGACTACAGCAACCAAAAAGGTAGACACCACTGCAATAGCACAGTAGTGCTGACCTACTTGAGCAAGCTGTACAGTAACTAGCATGCAGCTCTGGCTCTTTTTCAGTAAAATGGTATGTGACCTCCCAAATCAACATCTAATTTGAAACATAAAATTACCAGATGTATCTTTTGGCAGCATATTTATTAACTTGTTAACTTTATCTGCAACCCTCAAGGCTACCTCTTACATCACAGTGGTGAAGCATCAAGTAATTGAAAGTCAGTTTTGTGCCAGCCAAGGACACTGGCTGCAAAAACCAAACACAAACGTGTCTGGAGAGAAGACGTTTTCATTATTTCTTTCTCTGGCTCCCTTACGCTACCTGCCCACTTGCTCTTGCACTGATGATTTTTTATTTTTTTTTTTTAAGGGAAAGGTAACAAGTTTGATGAAATCTTGAGGAGTGTGAGAAAAATCTGAATGAAACTTCTCTTACTTTTCAGTGCAGGCTTACTTAGATGCTGTTTATATTCACAAGACATACAGGATTCAGACCTCTGGCCAGATGCTCTGGCAGGTTTTAATATTTCTGGTTAGAGCTTTTTAAAAAATCTAGTTCACTCACTCATTGTCCTTCCTGATACATTTATCTAGGGCATATTTTTGTACAAGCTATAAAAAACCCAGCAGAAAAAGATTGTTGACCTGCAGATTTTCTGGATCTTAAGCATTTAGCAATCTATTTCATAAGAAAAATCAAATTATTACTGGGTGTGGAAGAGGCTCAGGTACTATGTTTTTCTTCTAAATTTCTGTAAGTTTTGCCCGTATGGGATCCAGAATGCAGCTGTTCCTGACTGCTCACACTGGGAAAAACACCCAAAAGACATTAATACCTAAATCTAGAGTGGACCACCTGACTTAATAGAGGTAGGAGGAACCAAAATTATTAGAACATAGTTGGAAGGACTAGTAAGATACAGCTAGAAGAAAGTGAAAATCACAGTCCACTGTTGGGAAGAGACTTCTGTTGTGAGTATCTGAAATTTGGTGCTGCCAGATACCCATTCAGCCCACTCACATAAACCCTCACGAATTCAGTGGAAAGATTCCTATTCATTTCAGTGGGTTTTTGCCCAAAGGGCAGCAGTTTATTGAGGTGTTATCCTCAGTTTTTCACATGCTCTCTAACTTGGATGTATGGAAACTTCCTCTTTCTCACTGCGAATCATCTGGGTTCTCTATTAGTGTTAATATAGAAAGTTTGGCCAAAGGCAGAAAATGAAAATGTTTTATTGTACAAAATGGATGAAATAGTGATATCCAAGGCTGCTTTATAACTGTAGCAGTCACAACCTGGATTCATGTGTCGTGTCAACTTTGGAATGTTCCAGATCTTCCATATCTCAGTAGTGTGACTCTGGCTCATCTTTGCAGTTCAGAGTATGAGTGAGGCTGGTGGGTATTTTCCCTTTAGGCATTTTCTATCTAGTAACTATGCTTTACCTCTTTGTTTTCTTTAGGCTTGTTACAGAACTTGTCATTTCATGATCAAGCTCAGCAAGTGTAGAGTTAACATCAAGCTCAGCGAGTGTAGAGTTAACATCAAGCTCAGCAAGTGTAGAGTTAACATCAAGGGGAGCCTGCCTGACTTGCATGCTGATGTTAATGAAGCTGTGAATTGTGTCATATTAGCCTCATTTGCTTCCCATATGCTTACTCTCATTTTCCCCTCAGAAGCTGGAATTCCACTTTTCATCTTCATTTGTATGCCCAAAATGCAGCCAGCTTAATTACCAATTATAACCTTACTCATTTAAAAGCTAAATCAACTGGAAACAACACTAAAAAGTGTCTCCCTTGAGGAGAACTAAAAACTTTGTGTTAATTTTCTTCACATATTTTGATTAGTATAAAGCACTGTGTAACTTATAACTTAATCTCCCCAATTGATGTTAATTTTAAATCAAGATGACACGTGCATACTCATGGGATGACAGTCAGAGCAACCTGCCTTCTCTTCCTCCTTCAACTCTGACCTGCCACACAGAATTGTTTCTCCCTGGGAAACAATAATGAAGCACTGTAGCACCCAGCTCTGCCAGCAGCTTTTTATTTATGTCCACCTTTTCTTGCTTTATTTTTTAACTGCCTGGCCTGTGCTATTTCCTTGAGTTTCTAAGTCCCTTGTGAGTTTCTTTTAAATGCAGTTTCTTCCATCTAAGGAAATGAGAGCTCTGTAAACTTCCAGGTACGTTTCATGGGACCCTGTCAAACACTGGAAGGTGTAACAGCTGTTGGGCTTGATATACTACTGATTGCCACAAAAACATCCTTCCAATCAATACTGTAAAACTCTCAGACACTCTTTAGCTCCTGAGTGAATTTACCATTCCTAGTGACAATCTCCATTACTGCAATAAAGGCCAGAGTAACTATAAGAAAATAAAAGTAGATTTGGAGACCTGCCATTTTTATTTATGGAATATTTACGTAGTGTAATTTATCAGCTATTTGGAGCACATCACCCTCTATGGGAGAAGCAAGACTTGCTTTCCAACTGTTCTTTTTTTCCAAGAAAAAAAGTTTAAGGTATTGAATTTTTTTCTTTTTTCTAAAAGTAACCCAAGTCAACTAACAGAAAATACAACAAATATTTGTAAATGAGTGAAATAATTGCACAGTGATGAACTTGATGCATTTACGTTGCCTCTAGCTCAAGTGTGTGCAGAACCTAAGACTGAATGTGGTAGTTGTGTGCCCCACACATGCATGGCAGCCA